TAAAAATGTAACGGTATGGAAAACACAAGACGAAACCAGCTACAACTAGAATGGCAGTTACTTGGAACCGGTTGATTAAATGACAATAAGCATATTGATGAGTGAAATCGATCGAAAATTGGAAAAAGACGTTGTATGTGTGCATTAGGTCCACAATATATTCTTCAATTTATGCATAAGCAAAATATTTTGACAGCCTATTTTGCGACAAATGGTAGAAAAAAACCATCTATCCACTTCAATCTTTCATATTCATTTGTATATTTAGTGATTTATGTGATTTCCAGTGCTTGCTAAGTATGAATAGTTGTTTTTATTCCTTCCAATGAACATACAAATAAATTTTTGAGGTAGCAAAAGTAATCGACAAACAAGAAGATAAACAAATTCTTACATTATCTGCAAATATGCGTATACCAGTGATCACTTCCTCCTTCTATGCATATACATACTGTATAATAATAAGGATTTTTGTTACACATTTCCAAAGTTATTCTCATAACCTAAGCTATAATAATATATAATGTGCTGAAATAATTGCTAAGGCATTTTTCTATCAGTTTGTTTCTGGAATATTACATTTTACGCTGTAATATACGATATCATGAGGAGTAATGCTTATATGAAGTGTTTATAGAGTGATATATTTTCTGTACTAGATAATGTACACTAGTGCAACTATTGTATCCACATATGTATATTGGGAAAAAAAACCTGGTATTCAAACCAATACAAGGATTTTGAATTGTTTAAAATTTCAGAATGAAGTTGCTAATCTCCTCGACAGAGTTATTATTGCCTTAATAGAAAACCTACAGAAGTAGTGGTCGAAATGGGATTCAGAAAAATGAAAGTAGCAGAATTTAAAAACGGTATCTTGTGGATAAGGTCTTATTAAGTTTCCAAATATTGTTTGCAGATGGATGCAGAGATAAGCAACAATATTGGGATAAATAAGACTTAAACAGAAGTATACTAATTTGTTACACTAAAACCTCAAGACAACAGAAAATGTACTCGTCGACTTTATTTGTGCATAAATTGAGAGCTGTCTCGTTCACGTTTTCAAAGATTTAACTAGCAATTACTAATCATCACAGGGCCTGTACATCTCTACAGCATTTATAGTAATAATCATTTAAATCATGCACTAGTGAGATGTCCTCAGTATGACTGGATTTATCCGTGTTCGAAATTATTCCCAGTTTTTCTACATTCACACCTTGGCATTCAATAAATACTGTGATTTGCAACAGATATTTTAATTAAGCGTCAGAAAACAAGATCACATTGTCACCTGAATAATTGTGATATAACTTCATTTATGCAACAGTTATGTATATTACAACCTAGTTTGATAAACAAAAGGTCTTGTTTTTATTTGTTTCACTGATTTTTGTAGAATTCAGTTTTATATAAACAGAACAATAGTGTAACAGTTTTATGCAGCTTGAGAGCATACATTTTTTTTGATCAAAACAACGAGAAGAGCGAATGACATGGAGATGAAAGGAGTCACAGAAAAATTACTGAGACATCTGTAGACATTTGCTTATTGTGTTACATGTACCTTGTAATCATCTGCCTAATATTTGTACTTGTTTTTCAAAGAAAAGTATCACTTGAACACATCACAGTGACCTCTTGAATATTTACAGGATATTTTTTTTGACAACTTCACTATCTAATCCTATTCAGAGGTGACACACTGGAAAATCATAAGAGTGTATAAATGCAAAACTACCGAAGGTAAGGTAAGACTGAACAGATATTTTTTCTTAATTTAGGATTTAAAAAGAACCAGGAACCTTGTATAAGTCAATTCTAGAATATTTTGATCTCTTTATTACAAGTCTAATTTCATCATATCACCTAACGATGCAATCAAATGCTGTTTGAGGATAAGTGGATCAAGTGGGCACAGTTATTCAGAAATTAAATAGCATGAATCTATACTTTTAACATGTAAACCTTGTTTAAGGAGATAAAAAACCCCGATATGCTACCCCATAGCTATGTAGTGCCACCTGAATCTCTGTTCTTACCAATTAGCTCAGAATTTAAAAAAAGTAGAGATATATATAGATCTTGTTTTAATTGTACCAATTCCATTCTAACCAGTTAGTTAGCCAATGAAATTATTTTCCATCTTCACTGCTATCTATTCAACGGATGACGTCAATGTTCTGGATTTGAAAAATCCTTGTCTCGAAGCTCTATTTAACTATCACTAATCCACATAGAATTATCATAACTTTTTTTCATCTACGGAGCAAACTTTTGATTACTACTGTCTATATAACTTCCGTTATTCATTTCTTCTGCCTCTGATTACCTAGCATTAATATTCTCTTCCCTTTCGAGCAAATATTATGTCATAGGATCACTTAATGTATGCAATGTATGCATAATTTGACATGGGAATTGTTTTGAATTGTAGTCACACGACTGCAATTTCAAAATAGAACGTATTCATATTGCTCTAATTTAAGTCGTTGTCCTTTTGTAGATTAAATTTATTAATCTGAAGAATGCTAAATTTTCTCATTTATTTTACGGCAAAATTTTCTTTAAGACAAAGCAATGCGCAGTTATTAGTTTGTTTGCAGAAGAAAAGAAATAGATGAAGGAACCAGAGAAGATGAGCTATGAGAAAATAACGACGTCTTGACATACATTATACATAGGTATATGCATTATTATTTACACGTGCTACTCATACAACTGTATGGTAAACTCAGGCGTTACAAAACCCTTGTTAGTGAGCCGTTATTGCATCACCAATCAGGATCTTCATTCTGCAACCAAAACCGTTCGACCAAACTCTAGTTCAAAATCAATTAACGTATTATAGGTTCCAGTAGTTTGTTTAAAATAATTTTGCTAGAAATACAAGGAGGAAAATTTGAAGTCTCTGTCCAAACGGTTAGTCAATCTGTACTTAAACAAATACAGACATAAAAACTATATCCGACTAAAAGTTTATAATAATCATCATTTCCTTTTTAAGCTCTTCGTTTTGCTTCTACCACTTTTACTTTTTCTAAAGCCTACTGTCTGTTTTCATTTTGTATGGAGATAAGCTAACTGTGACTTACTTCACAACACCTGATCTTTAGATTTTCTTAAGAAATTCTTGGTCGAATAAACGTACTACTAGCTTAACCCAGGCTTTTATTATCTACGTATGTAATCCCTCCTACTTTTGACTTTCAAGACAAGAGAATGTATGGGCACTTTGGCAAGATATCGGTGGTGCATATGTTTATTTTCTCTCGCATTTCGTCAGCTGAATATGTGGTTTATATACGTAAATATGTAATTTTTTTCATTCATTCATTGAAAAATACATGCTCATATTTGTCTTTTAGTCACTTTCCTAATATGGATAATTAATATTTCACGGGACAACAAGATCGTCATATCTACTCTTCTTTCTTTCATAATCTACTCCTTTTACAAAGAATACGAAAGTAAGATAACCACTTACTTCAAGGCCCTCGGAATAGTTGCTTCTATAATACACAAAAAAATCAATCACATCCGAGGCATATTCGATGTTTAATCGATTCATGTTATGCCTAGTAAAAATTATAGTTATAATTTATCAGATGCTTATAAAAGTGAAGAACACCTCAGCGTAAAGCAGACCTCAAAATGACCAGCTAGAAACTATCCACAATACAGTGAACTTATCGAATACTGTAATAAAGCAGTAAATTGAATAAATGAAAACAGTAATTTGTTGATATCAGTAGTGGTCATTGAGTGTATAATAAAGAGCGGTAAATTCATTCTTCTTGACTGAAAACACTAAAATAGCATTGTTCCTGTGTTCATAAATCTATTTAAGTATTTGATAATTTTTTATTGCTCAATTTTGACTAATACCCTTTAAAAATTTGAATAATAGACAGGGTAGAAATTCAAGTTAAATTGAACAAAAAACAGAATAAGAAAAACGGTGTTATAGTTGATATGTACCATTGGATAAGACTCTTGTGAGACACTTACTTGAAGGCAAGTAAATTAAAAGTTAAAACTAGAAGCAAATACTTTGTTCCATAACTGAAACCGACAGAAATTACCAATACTATTAACCATTAACTTCATAGGTTGACGTACGAGTAATAGTGCCTCTAAAATTGCTCAGTACCGTAAAGACATTTTTAACCAGTTAATGCAAATCTGAAATCTTGGGAATTAAGATTCTATTAGATCGAAAATTTGTTTCAATGTCAGTCTTGTCACAGATGGACAGTTAGGGAATTACTGTTTCAGATGAAACGAAAACCTTCATTTTGGAATTCCTTAACCTGTGACTGGATGGTCGACTGACTTGTCTCATAAACTGAGCCTACTGGTCAGATCATGGTGGAGTACTTCCAAGTTGGACCAAATTACGACGAAACTGCTCTCAAGTGCTTCTTAGTTTTCAATGCTACTGTAGCTGATATCGGTTCATGATGAAATCAACACTGAGGTTAATCAAAAAACCTACAGAACTAAAAATCTAAAACTTGTTTTGGTTGGACAGACACCTATAATTTCGTCATTTAACCATCGATTAAAAGACTGTTGTCAAAGTCAATGATATTTAGTCATTTCTCATTTTTCACCTTCAAAAAGACCTAATCTCCTTTCTATATAGAAAAGACAGTAACACATTTTTCTTGCTGCCATCTTGATTCTTTTATGATTTGACTGGATCACTCTTCGTGAAAAAACTAAATAAACATTCAACACCTCAATTCCTTAAATTCACATACTCGTACTAATTATAAAACACTTCCGATTTTCTTCCACATGTTACAATAATACAAAAAATCATAAATTTATTTTGCACTATCTTATCACTCTCAATGACTAATAACATTTTCAAAAGAAATGAAGACGATTAATGAGACAATGAGTCAGGAACATATTTCCTAATTCAAATGAATTTCAGCGACTGACTGGTAACGTTAGTTCTCACTCTTATCGTTGAAATATGCACTTACCTAATTCAATTTCAATTTCTTTCCCAAGTGTATACATTGATTTTCCAGTTGTGTTTGATGTCACGGTTGAAGGTGACGTTGAAATGGCGGTAGTGGCTGCAATCTGATCTGTAGATATGGAATCATTTGTACTGGATGTGACTGGTGTTGACAGTAGATAGGAAGATGGAGAACGAATCTGTGTATTTAATAAGCTTTGATTTCTCTGTTTTGAGAAAAACAAAGGAGAAAAGTGTAACAGATTTGAAAGGTGAATAGATGAATATTTTTGAATTCAAAATAATATGCCTTATTCTAAAACCATCAACAGAATAAGCAGATACATCAAATGTTTCCATAACTGATGGGTTTAATGAAATGAAATGAAGATGCAAATGGATAGACAAATGAACACATTGATTAACAAATCACACAATTTACGTTTATAGTTGGAAAAAATGATGCAATCTGAAGTGATACATATGATGAACAGGTGAAAAGATAAAACAAGACATTCACCTTACTGGATAGTTTGAAAATAGTCGTTTACACTGAATTGTACCTGTTTACCTGAATATTTTATAAACTACCTCTAAGTAGCCGATTAAGAATAAAATTAAATTGGCACATAACTGTAGTCCCACATTTATGATTAAGCTTAAGCACAATGCAGAATAAAACAAGAAATAACACTATATGCTTGTTTAATTTTTATAACTAACGCTTTTATATATCACTGGAGCACTAAGTACATTACTTATTTCCTATACCAACACAGAAATCCAGGAAAAGAAATAATAATCATGCCAGACTACGTCTCATTTACATTAAGTTATCTCACATATGAAATGCAAAATTATTAAGTCGATCCAAAGTGTTCAAAAATCAAAATATAAGCTCTCAAAATGACGTTATCAGCGGTAATAAGGATGGCGAAATTTCAGTTATCATGGATTTGTTAAAAAAATCTTAGAAATGGTGGACTTCTGTTAACACATGTAATTAAAGTCGGCAGACTCCCTTATTTGTGCAGTTAATTTTTTTAGATGTCTAAGCTCAGGGGAAAGTTGTTTAGCTGGTCAGTAAGAATTACACACCCTTGTGTCTGTACATTCGTGTATATCACAACCTATCTCTAATCGGCAACACAAGTGGGCTGTCTGTCGTCCTTCCATATTTACTCTGCCTGGTCTCAAAAAAATAATTTGGCAGTAAATCATCAATGACTTGGGTACATACAAAACTTTCGCTTCTCCTAGAGAATTTACCTGCATTCCGAGTATGTTTTACTGCTCCTTGGGTTTCTTTTACATGGTCATCAAAGGTGTCACTTTGAAAAGGTTGAAGGGAACAAATTAATTAGACGTACTAATGTGAATTAGGTAGTTCAGCAGTACGCCTCCATAATAAAACCTTGCTACTAGCTTGTATACTGTGTCGAATAAGGAGTGGAATAACCTGATTATAGTTCTTATTCCGTAAAAACTGCTTTGTCCTGCTGTCAGAAATTGCATATGATACGGAAGCATCACTCATGAACTAGTCTAGCTCACTGGGGCCACCAGAAGTAGAAGCACAATATCAGTTCAATCTTCCATTAGGAAGATGGTACTAGGGTCAACAAAATGCACAGACATCTGTGAAGTTGCACAGAGTGCTTCAGAAAAAGTTCAGGTAACCCACAGTTCAAGTAGGGAACACTGTAAATCAACTTTGCCTTCTCAAACTTCATATGCCAATTGGCTCAAACAACTAACTTCTAACTATTTAAAGGTAGTAATGAGAGTGTAGTGAGGAGACTGACAAAACTGTTTTAAAATGTATGGCAGACTGATTGTATCAAATTGATGGGAAATGAAGCCACGGCTGCGTCTATCTTTAAGAGTCCACGAAATGTATTTGACAATCACCGTAGTATTGATCTGTAATCAGTCGCGTCAAAATACGGATAGCTATCTTGCATCACCAAATTTGTACAACAAGTGTTCTTAAACAGCAATATAGGTCTAGTTTATGCCATAGATGCAAGTGATTAGAACACCGTCACACATATTGTTAGCCAACAATCGTTGAACTCCATGATTTTAAGTGCGTCTAAGATTTGTTGGGCAGGCTTTCTTTTGAAATACCCTTTTAGAAAGGGATGTTGTTTAGATGTCTGCTATCGTTCAGAAATCTACTATTTAGCTACTGTCACGACTGTTCTCAGTCATCTGTGGAATCAGACAGGATTTCTTAAATTCCCTAACTCTACCACCGACTTTATTCTACACTACTCCGAAAGGTAAGAGTGATGGTAGTGTAGATATGTCGTTGGAGAAAAATATATTCCACCATGACTGTTTAGACAATATCGCCTTGATGCGCGATAGAATAAAGGTTACAAAAATCCTACTTCATTAGTTGGCAGTAAGTTTCTGTTAACACTGGAATTAATCAACACTTGTGACGAACTCTTTCTACAGGTTTTAGTAGTCCTGATTTTTACCGTTCTGTTTTGAAAAGTTAAGATGTATTCTGTTACTTAGTCAATAGATTATTTGCAATGTATAACAGCATTTTTATTTAAAAATAAACTCAGTCCACTAATATTTATTTTAGTCAAACATGCCGTTCCCATCAACACAACAGCTGTTTATTTGTAAAGAGTTTAGTACCTTGTTTCTGGTATGCGAGTGGTAGAAAATAAAAGATTCAATAGGGCTGTATTCTAAACAGATTATTTTAGCTAGTGAAAAATTCTTAAGCCAGTGAAAGAATTCCTAAAAGAATTAAATATCAATGCTCTACCAGATAATGGGCATCCTAATTAGACTAGAAAGTTGAAAATTAGCTTTTCACTAAGCTTTAAAATTTACTTGTTGTGCAAATTACATTATTCTTTATTAAACTATAATTATAAAGCTAGTCAATAGTTTTTACATGGTAACTTCAGTAAAAAGAATATGAACAGATTCAGAGTTCATGGCTCTATGTACAAAATCAAGTAAATGCGCAGGTATTTCCTCATAATGACTGAATAAAAACCTTTGTAAGGCCGAACTATTATGGTCTCTCAAACTGACATAGGAGTGTTCATATACAGAGACGAATCTTTTAAGAAATTTAAAACGGTTCACAATCCTAAGTAAAACTATCTACCATCCATTGTGGAACTACGGTGATCTGCTTCTCCTAAATGGTCACCAGCAACATACAACTTATCAGCGCTGCAATATTTTTGAAATCGTCATGGTACACGCCTGTACGCCAGTGGAAAGTTATAAAAGAAACAGAGTTATGCAGACAATGCAATTAAGCGTTGAGGAATATTAGAGAACAAAAAGGACAAGTCAAAAGTACGTTAATACAGCAACTGCAAATATAAGCAATGAATGCATCTGCACCACTACCACAAATTCTTTAACTTATTACACAGAATCTGCGACCAGCAGTTACACGCATCTCATCCAGACAAAATTCACTTACCTGTGAAACTCAAAGTAACAATTAATAGTGTAGTAGATTAGTTCTACACCTTGATGCAGTTAACCTGAAGATTTTTTGAAATTAGTTCTCCTCCTAAAGAAGCACGCTAAAGCATATGATGAGTGAGAATGCTTGGGTTTTGTTGTGGAGTATAATTCCATGTTACTTTATGTGTTTGATATAACATCATAGAATAATGTAGTACACAGTGATTCATTAAAAAATAGGTCAAGATGCATGGTTGGAAAAGTCTGGTTCACTGGTTAGTTTCACTTAAATTTCAAAATAGTAACGCTAAATGTCTGATTTGTAGATAAAATACCAAACATTACATTTAAGGCAGCAGCTAAATTATGCTATTTTTATGTTTATAAACCTCATTACTTCATTCAAGCAGTCACGTGAAAGGGTGTTGGGGTCGCCAATTCTACCAGAATTTATGAATCTCGGAATAATTCTGAATATATTTTAAGGATATTCAGATTAATGAATTCGTTAAATGCCTTTTTTTATATTCTGTTTTATGCCCGACAACGACTATTTATCTAATATAGATTAGGGTAATTAATCATTCAACATTATTTAAATGGTAATGTAATAGACTTCTATAATATCAGTCTGTTTAAATCAACTGAGTTTGGTGACCACTAAACTGAAAAGTTATATTTTTATATAGTTGTTCCATATTAGTTTGTTTATTAGATATATCACTTGGCGAGTCATAAAGAGCATCTCAAACAAACTTCAGACCTTCATTAACAGCTGTCTTCGCTCAATACTCAAGATCAGATGGCCAGAAAAGATCAGCAACAGGGACCTCTGGGAGCGAACCAATCAGGAATCGATTGTAAAACAAATAGGCAGGAAGAAATGGGGGTGGAGTGGCTGGCCATACGCTGAGGAAACCATCAAGTGACATCACTAGACAAGCCATTGCTCAAGTGGAACCCGGAAGGGAAGCGGGTGGCGAGGTGGTCGTCAGTGCAAGGTTGACTTGGAGGAGGTCATGCGAGGAGGAGATGAAAGCATGTGGACAGACCTGGAGCGGGATGAAAAAGTTGTCAGAAAACCGAAGGCAATGGAGGTGCGCAGCTGAAGCCCAATGTTCCTCTAGGAACTAAAGGATACAATAATAATAATAAATTAGATATATCACACAGTGAAACTTACTTTTATATAGTTGGTTTGTAAGGATTGGTTTTGGTTTTACAAGTTGATCACGGATTGATATCAGTTAGAGAACCATTGAAAACCAGGGAGTACTGGGCAGATGTTTAATCGTAGTGGATGAGTACTTCCGATAATTCCCAAACTAAGATAAAACAGCTGTCCAGTACACTCTGGTTTTCATTGGTTCTCTAACTGATATCAATCCGAGGTCAACTCGAAAAAAAAAGTTATTTGTTGATACTTTTAAAGTAACTGGCTAAGTGGTCTCAGTCTCATAAGAAGCTTTCCCTTCAACACGCAATACAAGTGTCCCTACTTATAGTCATGCATATGTCATTATTTATAAAAGCTAAGTGAAAACAAGTAAATCTTTATGAACTTATTTTAATATCAAATCCTTTGGAAAAGCAAACTTTTATATAATAGCCAGGGATTAAATTAAAAAGTACTAGTTCGTAGGTTGATAGTTATAATAAATTCGGACCAAAAATCTCCACAGTCAGGAAGACAAGGAGAACCTGTTGCTCATCTGTTACATTTTAAAAATCCGCTGCTGCAGCAACTTCGGGCAAAAGTGTTTCACCTCAA